GCACAGCAATGAAGACCCAACGCAGCCAAAAGTAAATAAATTAATTAATGGGGGGGAAAAGAATAACTCCGTAAAGCTCTAAAATAAAATATTTCTTTTATTTTTGGCTAAAATTTTTATTAAGTCTATAAATTTGCTGGAGAAGAGACATTTCTACAGTACTTTCAGAAATCTATTTCTTTATATGTATCAATCAACAAATTTCAATCACCTAACTTTAGTAAATTTACAAAATAAAGTTATCAAATAGCTGTATTAAGACACGTGCGTGCATGCACACACACATACACACACAGCCCTGAAGAGAAAAGGGAACCCTCCTACACTGTTGGTGGGAATGTAAGTTGGTACAGCCACTATGGAAAACAGTATGGAGGTTCCTCAGAAAACTAAGAACAGAATTACCATACAATCCAGCAATCCCACTCCTGAGCATATATCCAGACAAAACTCTAATTCAAATAGATACATGTGGGCTTCCCTGGTGGCGCAGTGGTTGAGAGTCTGCCTGCCGATGCAGGGGACATGGGTTCGTGCCCCGGTCCGGGAAGATTCCATGTGCCGCAGAGCAGCTGGGCCCGTGAACCATGGCCACTAAGCCTGCGTGTCCGGAGCCTGTGCTCCGCAACGGGTGAGAGGTCACAACAGTGAGAGGCCCGCATACCGCAAAAAAAAAAGAAAAAAAGATACATGCACCCTTACATTCATAGCAGCATTGTACACAATAGCCAAGACATGGAAACAACCTAAATGTCCATCAATAGAAGAATGGATAATGAATATGTGAGGGGTGTGTGTGTATGTGTGTGTATACACACAAACAAATGGAAAACTACCCAGCCATAAAAAAGAACGAAATAATGCCATGTGCAGCAACATGGATGGAACTAGATTATCATGCTAAGTGAAGTCAGAAAGAGAAAGACAAATACCATATATCACTAAAGTATGGTACCAATGAACCTATCTACAAAACAGAAACAGACTCACAGACATAGAGAACAGACTTGTGGTTGCCAAGGGGGAGAGGACTGGGGGAGGGGTGGAGTGGGAGGCTGGGGTTAGCTTTTCTATATAGAATGGATAAACAACAAGGTCCTACTGTATATAGCACAGAAAACTATATTCAATATCCTATGATAAACCATAATGGAAAATATTTTTAAAAAGAATGTATATATATGTTAAACACACACACACCTGAAATCAAGCGTTGTGCCACACCTGAAATTCAAGTTCCCTACGATGTACATGACTTTTTAATGAAAGCATACAATCTTCAATCACAATCACTGAGTTGGTTGGTAGCACGAAACTGCTAATTTTAAAATTATAGGGGGCTGATAGCAAACAGACATGAGGGAATTTTGGGGGGTGCTGAAACTATCCTATATCTTGATTGTAATGGTCCCACATCTGTATGTGATTGTCAAAACTCACAGACCTGTACACGGAAAAAGGTGAATTTTACTGTATGTTAATTATACCTTAATTTTAATTTTAAAAAATTACAGGAGGCACTTTGATTCTAATTTTAAATATAGGCTTATTTTTACAGAGATGCAAATGTGTATCTACTTAAACCTCTTTTGTA